AGCAAGTTTGAAGGCAGAGGTCAGAGGTCAGAGATGGGGGAGTTTGAAGCATTCTGCCTTTTCAGAGCACATCTCTTATCTCCTCTGGCTCCGACTGTTCACACACGCCGGTTAGCTGTGGCTTTGGCTTTTGCAGTGACAGTAGACATAGCAAACTTGTGGAGGCTGGCTTTTGGCACAGCAAGCAGCTAGAGGGTGATATTTTTCTGACAAAGAGATGTTCTTAAGTTTTGTAATTTATGGCGTCCAAATATGGAATTTTGTTGACTGTTGCCCTAATTATACCTCTGATACATTCTGTTTAGCTTAATGTTTGAATTTTGTGCTCATGCCCAGAGGTAGCTGCCCAAAGGGTGCCCATTAAAAAATCTTAGGTAATGTTTTCTCGTTGCCGCAGCTACCTGCAGCTTCTTGAAGGCAAGGAAATGGGTTTGGGGGACATAGACTCTCACATGGGTTCTCATGAAGATTTTGAGTGTGTTTGTGCAATGCATGGTCTTGATCTCCTGTCTGCCAAGTATTATCCTAAACCATCTCTGTGCAATAGAAATATACTACAAGCCACGTAAGTAATTTCAAATACTCTAACAGTCACATTTATGAAGTGAAAAGAAACAAGTGAAATTAACTTGAACAATGTTTTTAACCCAGCGTATCTAAAATATTATCCTTTCAACATTCACTCAATATAAAAATTAATGAGATATTTTACAATCTTTTTTCCCCCTAATCTGTCTCTTCAGCTTGCTGTGTATTTTACAGCACATCTCAACTCAGAGTAGCCAGACTTTAGGTACCCAATAGCCACATGTGGTGAGTGATACTGTAGTAGATAGTAAAGTCCTGGACCTTTTAAAGGCTTTACAAGGGATACAGGAAAGAGCCCTTAGAGGGGCTAGGAGAGATACAGCCTCATAATTTATGAGCTGTTAACAAAGCCATACATAGGCTTCGTCCTTTTAGAGAAACCTGATATGTAAAAATTCATCTTGACAGGAAAGGTAGAGCAGGAAGTGATCATTCATGTTACAAAAGAATTAACCACAGGATCCTTTAAATAGCAAGCTAGCTCCCTTAGTGAACTGAAGAATCTGACTCAATTTTCGAAAATGTGATTGACACTTGGCATTTTAGTAGCATCTTTGTTGGGCAGAGACCTATCTGCTGTTATAAACTGCAAGTTGAGCAGTTGGTTTATTAAAGCTTTACTGAGCACCTATTATATGTCATGGACATGTCATAGGGGGCCATGACAGAACTAAGGATGATCTGTACCCAGAAGGCATTCAGAGGCTTACTGGGAGGCAGAGAGACAGTGCAGCCACCGCGGCCTGGAATTGCCTCAGTGCCAGGGGCCAGGGAGACCTGGGGGCTGCAGGAGCCAGGAGGGTGATAAGAGGCAGCTAGGGCCCAGCTGGGACCAGAAAGCAGGCAACGTGCACGTGATTACTTAAGTGCCTGGGAATTTAAAGAAAGGCTACATCAGGAAAACCGGCTCAAACAGGATATTGGGAAGACTGAAAACTTAGGCAGCTATGCTTTATTTATCCCGGAGTCCTCCATCCCTAATTCCTAGCATGACTCATAGCAGGCACCAATTAAGGTGTGTCCTTGGGCTCCCTGGGAAGAGGGAGAGTGAAGCAAGACGAGATGGACTGTCTTTAGTTTACGACCAAAGGCGGCAGCTTTTTTACTTTTTAGTGACCATCTTCTTGAAGCAGATTCGTTGTCCTCTTCCAACTTTGCCTTGGGGGAGCCACATACAGAATGGAGAAAATGAAACTTGCTATTTAGGAAAGAAGAAGCAAGGTTGCGCTTTGGGAGTTGAAGGGGTTCTGAGTCCTCCAATGTACACAGGCTTCATTAGACGGACCCTTGCCCAGATTCCGCCTTAGTTGCCTTTCTGTCCTCCCTTTTGTCTCCAAGGCCCATCCCAGGTGCTACTTCTGCTCTTCCCATGAGCTTCTGTCCCCATCAGAAAAGCTATGAGCTTTCATCTCCAAGTACTAGGTCACTGCTCCAAGCCTTTTGTTTTTCAAAAAATAATACCTGTTATTAACAAAATAATTGGCTGTCTCCACATATGTATTTATTTATGGATTATGTGCACATATTTCTGTACTAGTGGACTCAGAAAGCCCCCAAAAAGCTTCTAAATATTTATTATTAGGTTTAGTGAGCCTTTGGGAAACAAGATTATTGCATGTCTTTCAACATGGGTGAAGAAATGAAGACATTTGTTTTCTTGGTTCAGATACATACTTTAAATGTGTTGCTAATCCCAATAGTCCCATATCATACTTAGGTAACTTACACCTGTATCAAGGGTGGAAGAAAATCCATATTACAAATTGTCTTAACAATTTAGTTTTTTGGTCGTCTCCCTCTCAGATCTGATTGGCTTGTCCTTGTGTTCACCTCCCAATGTGGCTGGCAGGGAGCTCCCACCAGGAGCCAAAATGGCAGCTCTGCCTCTTTCTTGTTTATGTGGTCACATGTTGAGTATTGTCTCCCGTCCCTACTTTCTTTTCACAGATCTTTTCCAGCCTCTTACCCACTTAGTGAGGGTGATTTTAGTTAAAAGAGGTAAGAGCCACAAAGAGGCTTTACCAAGAGGCTTCCCAGAACTGCAGGGTACTCTGTGGGGTTGACAGCCGGTGCAGGCAGCATCCTTGTGGAGGAGCACTGCCGTCCCTCAGGCTGCTCCTGCCCTTGGGGCACAGCTGACTGCTAGACTGAGAGGCCAGGGGAAGGAGCCAGTGCCATTCGGCAAATGGAATATTGGAGAAGTTTTATTTCTCTTTTTTGAAATAAAAATAAAAATGAATAGATGTTCTCATTTTGTGTTTCATCATGTCAACTGATTCCTGCAGTGAACACAGCCCTCTTTGGAGAGCACTGGCTCAGCAAATAAGCTTTACCGAGCTTCCAATTCTTGAATTGGGAGGATGGGCATCGCAATATTGTGAGGATTGACTGAGCTAATGCAGGAAAAGTGTCTGACACATACACAGTGCTTACTACTATAATCTGAGCTCTGATGGCGAGCTTCAGTAGGCCCATGTCTGGGTAATTTGAAGAAAGCTGTTTTTTAAGTGACCTGGTTCCGACTGTTCTGGTGGCTCCTCTTCCCCCCCCCCCCACATTATTATTAGGAGCCAAGGGAAGGGGACCTACTCCTACTCCCTGTCAGTGGATGTGTTCACGGTTTCTTCAGCTGCGCCAGACTTGGGCCCTGGAGGTCCTGGGGGTGGCTGGGCACGTTGGGCATGTCCCTGTCGTCTCGGATGGGCACTGGGTAGTTGTAGGGTGTGACCTGGTTGGTCATGGCGGTGTACTTGGTGTAGGGGCTGAAGGTGGGCAGAATTACAGCAAGGCCCCTGATGGTGAGGGACGTGACCAGCCCTGGTTCCTTGGCCCAGGAGTTTTTTAGGATGGTGGCAGGTCTCCCAGCCATCTTGGTCTTTGTGGTGGCCTGATGGCTCCTTTTAACTGCTGGGGAGTAGAGCATGGTACAAAGAAATTGGAGTGTTTCTGCCTTTGCACTTGTCAGGTTGATCAGGAAGCATTGCCTTGTTTATGCTCTTCTGCTCTTCCTTTCTGTTGATAAGCGATGAGAATGGTTCACAAGTCAACTTCATCCTGGGCAGGTTGATGACAGCAGAGCCGGCCAGCTAATTTTGGAATGAAAGAATGATCTAGGGAAGGAAATTCCGGTTTTAGTTGCTTATGAGCTGTTTGGATTAGCTGCCATTAGAAGTGGACAGAGGAGCACACCCTCCTGGATGGAGAGGGTCTTCTGATGTGGGAGCACTTTGGGAATTTATCCCTAATGGGGATTCAAAGCCCATTTAGCAGGGGCCTGCTTACCTACCAAGCTTTTTCTTGAAAATCATACCCCAGTTTATTGAATTTTAAAAAGTTGTTTGTGCTTTTCTGTCTCCTATTGAAATTTTTGCCAAACCCAAGATCACTAAGATTTTCTCCTATGCTTTCTTATGAAAGTTTTACAGATTTGGCTCTTACATTTAGGTCTGCAATTCATTTCGAGTTCGTTTTTGTAGATGTGCTTACTGTAAGAGCTTATTTAATGTTTTCTTTTCCATTATTTTACTGTAATTTGTAAGTTGCTAATTTACTTCTTGGGGTTTCAGCTAATTTTCGCTTCATTCATATTAACCTGCAAATAAAAAGGAGGAAGGACAGGGGACTGATAGATTGAGGTGGGTGTCAGGGGAGACCCAAAGTCTAGATAAATTGTGTAATCCATCTGTGGATAAATTAACCAGTCTTGGGATTGGTTAGCTCTACCAATTTGCATTGGTGCTTTGTCAACAAGAAGACCCATCTGTATCATCCATTGCCTCCACCTATTACCAATGATAAGAACTCATCATAGATTGGGAGAACAATTTAAAGTGGTATTGCTGTCTGGGATCTGTTGAAAGGGCAGTTATGCCTGCAAATATTAGCTGTGTGAAGCATTGGTTTGGCCAGTGGGGCCTCTGTATTAGCTGTTTTAATACGAGTGGTTGCAGAGAGATAGCCATCATCTCTGTAGAGTAGATAATAAACTGTTTTAATATCGCCTGTAGTTTGCACAGCCTTAGTCTTGGCAAGGGAGGAGGCGCCAAGAACCAAACTCATGCCTGTAGTCTCTGTACTTGAGGAAATGATGCGAGGCTCCCTGGGGGGAGGGGCGCAAACGTCATTGGCCTTCTGTCATGGTGCAGTTTCCCCTTTGAAGCCCCTGCTGGCCCTGAGGCTTGCAGGCTACTCAGCTTGTGCCTGACCACTGGCCAGCACTTGGTGGTTTCTGTCCTATGGGCTTCAGGTCAACTGAAAACGGCTCGGTGTATGTGGCCCTCTTATTTAAGTGTCGATAGAGAGAAGTCCCTCACTTTACTGACCTTCTAGGGCTGCTGAGCCTCAGACTTCTCCAACACCCAATCTAAGGTGCTCTCTCACTTTTTGTTTTTGTTCCTGTTCCTTTCTTTCAGTGGAGGCCATAGTGGAGTTTGATTACCAGGCCCAGCACGACGATGAGCTGACTATCAGCGTGGGTGAGATCATCACCAACATCAGGAAGGAGGATGGAGGCTGGTGGGAGGGACAGATCAACGGCAGGAGAGGTTTGTTCCCTGACAACTTTGTAAGAGTGAGTACAAAGCGAAACCCTTTTCCTGTCTCCTATGTGGGTGCTGCTGACCAAAGCTGTGGGGGCACCTGAGGAGGAATTTCCTGGGCTCTCTGACGGGATGGCTTGACAGCTTGACCTCTTGTGTGCTACCAAGAAGAGCACATACAGCTTTGCCCTAGATAGCTAGCAATGCCTGTTTTGAAATCACTTTCTGAAGACTCAGAATGTTCTCTTTTAAAACTATGTGACACTTAGAACATGCTAGGAAAGTATACAGCTTGTTAAACTGGTTTATTTACATGCTTGTTTATTTGCTTTGATCCTTCAAAGCAGCAATTTTCAACCGCTGTGCTGTGAGAATTTTTAAAACATGCAATACCTTACTATTTAGTCAGGGACGCTGACCTCTTTTCTCTTATCAGGGGTGTCAAACTCATTTTCACCAGGGGCCACATCGGCCGTGTGGTTGCCTTCAAAGGGCTGAAATAATTTTAGGACTGTATAAATGTAACTACTCCTTAACTGTTAAGGAGTTGAAATTATGTTTAGTCCCCTTTGAAGGGAACCGTGAGGCTGATGTGGCCCTTGGTGAAAATGAGTCTGACACCCCTGCCTTAGATTGTCAAATAAAAAAGTGACAGCTTATACAGTAGCTGTCTGGTGTGAATGAATCCAAATTATACTTATTTTTGTCAGATCAGTAAAAAAATATAATTTTTTGTGTGCCATGGAATTTTAATAATTAGTATATGTGCACCATAGATGGGAAAGGTTGAAGATCGCTAGTGTAAAGGGATTTTACCCTTTGCCATTCCATTCAAAATGGAGGTGAAACTAGTTTTGACCACTTAAGTGGCAGTCAAACTAAATGCAGAATTCTAATTGTACTGTTTCACCTTTGTAATAGCTTTTTTTTTTCTGATAGTACCGATAGTATTTTCCTTTTCCTCATTATGGCCGTGCAACATTGAATAAAATCTATTTTTTCAGTAAGGGTTTAAAAATTTGTTCTTTACCAAAGTCATCTAGGATTAATTATAAACATGTAGCTCATTCATGTTAAGGACTCCAAAAAAAAAAAAACCCCTGAAACAATGAACAAATAAAACAAAAACAGACTCATAGAAACTGTTGTTACCAGAGGGGCGAGGGTAGGGGGATGGGTGAAAAAGGGAAGGGAAATATAGTCAATAATACTGTGGTAAGTTTGCTCGGTGACAGATGATTATTAGAATGTGTAGTGATCACATTGTAAGGTCTAAAAATGTCAAATCACTATATTGTGCACCTGAAACTGATATAACCAATATAAAGTTGTATACCAACTAAACTTAAATTTTAAAAAGTCCAAAAGAAGCTCTGGCTGGTGTGGCTCAGTGGATTGAGCGCTGGACTGTGAACCGGAGGGTCACTAGTTTGATTCCCAGTCAGGGCACATGCCTGGGTTGCAGGCCAGGCCCCCAGTAGCGGGTGAGCGAGAGGCAACCCCACGTGTATGTTTCTCTCCCTCTCTTTTTCCCTCCCTTCCTCTCTGTCTAAAAATAAACAAACACATTTTTTAAAAAGTCCAAAAGAAGACATACTGCACAGTTGTAAATAATAGTTGAAATTGGGTAAAAAATGGATCTCCTGGAGGCTGTTCCCTGGGGGAAATACCAAGAAGGTGTAACAAGTCTGTGTACCGTAAACTTCCACACAACGCTGGAGAAGAGCAGACTATTCTCAGTGGGAAGTGCTGTGTGCAGCTACCCCTGTGGCTCCTGCTGTAGTTTCAGTGATACCAGACTGTGCTTAATACCTGAGGCTGTGGGGGCAGGTGGTGAGGGGAGTATGGGCCCAGAGAAGCAGATGTCCCCCTCAAAGAGCCTCAAGGGCTGCACGGGCCCTTTTATTGAGAGGGGTTATTGAATGAAAAATAGGAATGTGGCCCAGGCTGCCAACACCTGGGCCCTCTACCTGAACCCAGCCAGCCCCCAGTGCAGAGCAAACAGGAACCCAGTTTAATCTTACTTCAGAATCTTGCCTTAGATCGATCCTGTTAACATTTCTTCTTCCTCTCCTTTTTTCTGGGGTGTGTGTGCAGAAAGCTGGGGACAGTTGTTAGTGTATGCTGATAAACCTTGCTTTCTGTAAATAGTTGTGGAAGTATAGACAGTTTTCTTGGACTACAGTTGAACCTAGCAGTTCTCTCCTATTTTAAGAGCAGGAAAGCATTGTGTCCAGGCCACCACGGATTGACTTTGTTGATGTGTAAATGCAAGGGGATTCTTTTGCCCTTTCCAACAAAAACTCCAGTTTTGGGACAAAGACTGTCCTTGAAGGTGAACCAAATTCTGGTATGGAAAGAGGGTTTTTCTAGATCAAAAGGGAAAACTTGGGTAAAGATGGAGGAGGAAGGAATGACAGAGGACTGTGGGAAAGAGAAAGGAGGATCTGGGAAAGAGAAGGAGAGGAGGACCATGGGAAACAGAGAGGAGAACCCTGGGAAGGAGAAGTGACTACAGTGTGGCTCCAGTGTTGAAGGTAGGCCCAACCACAAATCTGCAGACTCAGAACTTCTGAGATGGACTTTGCTCAGGGCTTAAGGTGGGTGCATCTGCTGTAAGTGTTTGTGTGGGGCAGTGGGCACCAGGGCAGGGCAGCACAGCACAGGAAGAGCCAGGCAGGCTTGCTCATGGAGCACTAGGAAACAGAGGGGCTCCTTGCTGTCACACGGGGGCCTTTCTCCACTCTTCCCCTCCTGCTGGGCCTTAGGCCACCTCAGCGGGCTCCGCCCCATGGCTTTCATGGACTTCGGCTCAGAGGGAGGCTGGTGGAAAATGGCTGGGAGGGAGGGAGTCTAGCCCAGTCAGGAGTTATCCTGCTGGATCCCTGCCCTGGAGTTCCCTCAGTCTGGCTGTGTCCCTCTGCCAGATGGTGGCTGCTTGCATCAAGTCCCCTTCCTCCTCATTCTGTTCCTCTCATCCCTGCAGGCCTGGGCAGCCCTTGTTTCTAGCCCTGGCTCCTGCCTCGGAGTTTCTCTGTACGTCACCCACTTTGCAAAGGTCTCTTTATTAATCCCGCCTCAGGTTACCTACTTCGAGCGTACCATCTGTTTCCTTTTTTCCGAGCCTGACTACCCCATCAGGCCGCTCTGAGGATTAAAGGAGACAGCGTGTGGTCAGCCACTTTCTGACTGTGCCCTGCCCCCTCTCTCCTGGCCCGAGTGCGCCTGTTCTTACCTAATCACTTGTCATCTCACCTCAGCTAGAGGACTTCCAGTGAGGGGAAGTCATGCTCTTTGGAGCAGCTCATTCCTCCTGGGCCAGAAAGGATGTGGCAGGAATGGCTGGGGCCGTACCACTAATGGCTGTCACATTTGGCAGAAAAAGAAACTTCTGTTCTTTCAGATGTCTGAGTCTCTCTTCAAATCTTCACCCACTGGGAATGTTGTAGGCCTATTATTGAAAATCTAGTAGGGTGGATGCAGTGGAATTTAACGATAATGAAAACTGCCATAGAGAATTCTAGAAGCTGAAAATACATCTTTAAGTAATGATCATATTGGCATAAGTTCACAGCTTTGAGAATGGTTTACACATGCCTTATTTAGCTAAGAATAGTTTGTCCCCAGACTGAGTTGGGTAATCTTGTGGAATCCATCGTTTATTTGTGCTTTTATGCCAGCATTACCACTGTCAGAGAGCTTACCTTAATTTTCTTGATTCATTTATTGGATCCTTAGCATTCCAATTGAGCATGGGCCCCCAAAGTGTTGGGGTTCCTTGTCCACTCTCAACTCTGCATTGTCTCAATTTCTCAAAGGAAAAATGCTAGCCATTTCGACCTCCCTATGGTTAAGATGGTGCCTGGGCTGCCCCGGCTCTTGGGCTGAGATTTGCTGGCACACATAAATGTACCCAGCTGGCCTCTTGGTCTTTCAGGTTTGTCCCTCTTTTTTCTTATTTAGTTAGTTTCTATTTAATTTATTTACTGGGCACATGGAAGAAGAATCTTTTCAAATTCTACTTCCCTTTCTTCTCCCTCCCTCTCTCCCCACCCACTTCTTTATAAGACTTTCCTTTCTTTCTTTCTTTTCTTTCTTTCTTTCTTTCTTTCTTTCTTTCTTTCTTTCTTTCTTTCTTTCTTTCTTTCTTTCTTTCTTTCTTTCTTTCCTTCTTTCTTTCCTTTCCTTTCCTTTTTAAAAAATTTATTCATTTTCAGGTGAAATTTCCATAGAGTAAAATGATAAAGTCATAATTGTATGGCTTGATGTTTTATCCATAAGTATGTACCTCTGTAACCATCGTCCAGATCATTGCTATTTTTGTTCCTCCAGAAAGTTCCATTGTGCCTTTTGCCAGTCATTCCCTTTCCCATTGGTAGTCCATCATCATAGATTAGTTTTGCCTGTACTTGAATTTCATATAAATGGAATAATAAAAGGTCCTCTCTTTTATATATGGCTTCTTTTACACAGCAAAATGTGTGTATATCAGCACTTTGTCCTTCCTGTATAGATCTATTTTATGAATATGCCCTAATTTGTTTATCCATCCTTGTGTTGATGGTGACTTGGGTTGTTTCCAGTTTGGATGTTTTATGAATATAGGCCTCGAACATTCTTGTATAAGTCTGCCTATGGACATAGGTACTATTTCTCTTGTATATGTACACGTAGGATTGGAATTGCTGCCATCACTCACTTTCAATGTATGTTTTTCTTGGTGTAAAGCTGTGGCCTCTGTGGATGGGAGGAGGTGTCACACCTGTGCCGGAGCCTCATTTGTGCCATACTAGCTGACTGAGCTAACTAGCCTGAATCTGATTGTCTCCACGTGGCTGCCCTATGGGTGTGACTGTGGGTGGTGGTGTGGCAGGCGCCAGTCCTGCAGCAGAGAGCTCAGTCTCCTGGGCACCATCTGATTGTGGACCCAGAAACTATCAAAGACTCATTCTTTAATTATTAAACTCATCCAAATAGAGGGTGAGCATGTGTCAAAATTTTTCTGAACTCATTTAATGAGAGAACTAGCCAA